CTCCTCTGGATAGTCTGGAGGCAGCAAAAGAAGCGGAAGAAAGGGCGGCAAAGGAGCGCGCCATCCTGCCTCTTGATGTTCGCATGGCTCAATTCCGGGAAATGCTTATTGAACAACAGGTAGGGTTCCCATCCATTATATATTTAGCATATTTCTTTTGCTTAAAAGTGCAATATTTTCATAGGTATCTGCGTTCTCTACTTGGGAGAAGGAGTTGCACAAAATTGTTTTTGATCAACGTTATTTGCTTTTGGCTAGCAAGGAGCGTAAACAGGCGTTTGAAGCGTTTATTAAGGAGCGTGCTGAGGAAGAGCGCAGAGAAAAGAAGAATAAACTGAAAGAAAAAAAGGAAAAGTTCAAGGAGCTGCTTAAGGAGGCAAAGCTTACATCTAAGTTAGTCAGATTCTTTATTTGTGTTGTTTGATTTCGAAATTATTTATAAAGAATATAATTTATCCTCAAACTCTTGTCAGATCATCATTTGCTGATTTCTCATCCAAATACTGCAAAGATGAGCGTTTCAAAGGTATCGAGAAGATGCGCGAACGTGAGAGCATTTTCCAGGACTTCCTCGCGGACCTGCGCCACAGGGAGAAGGAGGACAAACATAAGGAAAGGGAACTAGTGAGTTTTCTTTCTATTTATAGATTATTTATACAAATTTCATTGTACAATAATGATCGGTTTCAGTGGAAACTTTGCTGCTTCGTCGATTTCATTATTTCCCCTGTTTCTCAGTAAGGGTTGCCATAATTCAGTCTTCCGTCCAGCCAAATCCTTATTTGACATCAAAAATAAACCCAAGTAATAATAAATGAATCGTCACTAATGCGTGATTCCTTACTTGTGGTCCTTTCAGATTACGTAAAATTCAGAGCATTTATTCCTAGATCACATTTGGTTTAGGTTATAAGATGTAGATCATAGGATTCATAATGAATTTTATGCCTTTTTGGATAATTGGCTTATTTTTACGCAATTTTTTCCATTATATATTTAAAATACGCCTGTATATTGTTTTGCTAACTTGACGTAAATGGGAAATAGTGCAAATCCTGCCTGGTATTAACTTGGTACTAATAATATATTTGTGTCTGGAACAGTAATGTCGTTGATTTAAACTCGGGCTAGGCTTG